AATGCACCAGGCCTTATCGCTAGGAGCGCAGGATGAAGACCAGCGTGGGTCATCAGGGGAGGCGACAAACAAGGGAATGATGAAACAAACAAGATTCCGTCAACTAGGGGAGAGTGTTCCAAAGTCGGCCACGCGTGGAAAAGCGCACTGGTCTCTGCCGTCTCGGTAGGAGATGCTAAGTGCTGGGCCCTAAATGCACATCAGACCAGACTGAGTCCAACAACCTATTTCCTGCGGGTCTGCCTGTCCGCCTTCTCCGCAGGCATCGGGAAGAATGTGGTGTGTGAGAAGGCCGCGACCTCGGTGGACGCCTTCCGCATGGTGACCGCGTCGCGCTATTACCCGCAGCTGATGAGCCTGGTGGGGAACGTGCTGCGCTTCCTGCCCGCCTTCGTGCGCATGAAGCAGCTTATCGCCGAGCATTACGTGGGTGCTGTGATGATTTGCGACGCCCGCATCTACGCGGGCAGCCTGCTCAGCCCAGGCTACGGCTGGATCTGCGACGAGCTCATGGGCGGCGGGGGCCTGCACACCATGGGCACCTACATCGTGGACCTGCTGACCCACCTGACGGGCCGGAGGGCCGAGAAGGTGCACGGGCTGCTCAAGACCTTCGTGCGGCAGAACGCAGCCATCCGTGGCATCCGGCACGTCACCAGCGACGACTTCTGCTTCTTCCAGATGCTCATGGGCGGCGGCGTGTGCAGCACGGTGACGCTCAACTTCAACATGCCGGGGGCCTTCGTGCACGAGGTCATGGTGGTGGGCTCCGCGGGCCGCCTGGTCGCCCGGGGGGCCGACCTGTACGGGCAGAAGAACACAGCCCCACAGGAGGAGCTGCTGCTGCGGGACTCCCTGGCCGTGGGCGAGGGGCTGCCCGCGCAGGGCCCGCAGGACGTGCCGCCGCTCTACCTGCAGGGCATGGTACGCATGGTGCAGGCCCTGCGCCAGGCCTTCCAGGGCCAGGGCGAGCGGCGCACCTGGGACCGGGGGCCAGTGGCCATGGCGGCCTCCTTCGAGGACGGGCTGTACATGCAGAGTGTGGTCGACGCCATCAAGCGGTCCAGCCGGTCGGGGGAGTGGGAGGCGGTGGAGGTGCGGGCAGAGGAGGAGGACGCCAACCAGAACCTGGGCGAGCTGCTCCAGCGGAATAACCTGTGAGCCGGGCCTCGGGGCTTCCCGCCGGGGCCCGTGCGCTTGTGTGGAACTCGGCCGGTGTCCTGGGTCTAAGTGAAGCCTCAGGTGGCCCGGGGCCAGTAATGTGTGTGGAGGTGAGCTGCCGCCAGGCCTCCTCAGTGGTTAGCCTGGGCGGCGGGTCCCACCGCGGCGTGCCCAGTGGGCTGCCGCAGCCTGGTTGTGGCCCTGAGAGGGCGAGGAAGTCCCAGGAGCCAGCCTGGCTGCTTCCTCAGCCAGAGAAGAAAGACCGGAAGCCTCCTGTCCAGACCTCCTTGGGCTGGGCTGTCGGGACAGGGAGGGCAGCATGGGTAGGGCTGGTCCTCCCGTGGGCTCGCCTCCAGGTGGCCCTCCCACAGTGATGGGGGGGCAGGCTCTCCTAATTAGGCGAGGCTTCCTTCCGGGGCAATCTGAGGGGCCCTAGTTTTTGGCAAGGAAGGAGGAAAGGAAGCGTTGGGGCGTTTGATAAAGGAGAATAAAGAGTGACGTGGAGGCACGTGTTCCTGGTGTACTTGGGGCTCAGGGCTTGATTCCTGTCTGGAGGAAGCCCCGAGTCCACACGGAGAACCCCTTCCCCTGCCCACTGAGCAGACCGGCCCCTGTCACTATGTTTAGTCCTTCATGGTTGAGCCACCCCCACACCCGTCACTAATGTCTGTCCTCGGAGAACAGGACTCGAGTCCCTGAGGGGCTCTGGGAGGCCTGCCCCTTTGGGACCTCATGAGAGAGAGGTCAGGAGGGAGCTCCGGCCAAGAAAATGATGGTGTCCGTCCTACCTACCAGAGTGCCTGTGGGGGGAGAGGAGCTGGAGAGCTTGCGGGCAAGCGGGGGTGGGGAATGGGCCTAAGGAGGAACAGCTCCTCTGACTCCAGTGCTGCCCGGCCCAGCCCAGCACCGGTCACCCAGGTCCTGTTTCTACCCAGTGAGTCAGCGCAGAGGCAGCCCTGGGGGAAGATGCTCGGTCCTTTCCTTCTCTTGCCTGCCTGCTTGCCAGGATCGCTAACCTGGACCAGACGTCTCAAACCTTCCCTCTCCGCCCTGCCCGGGGCCCCTTGCACAAAGGCTTGGGGGCCTCCTGTTCCTCTTGGCACCCCTTCTGGAAGTTGCCAGGCTTGTTTTCCCCGTGTTCTTTTGGCTGCACACATGATCCTTTTATGGTCAGCAGCCGTGGGTCCTGTGGGACTGTGTTTCCTGCCTGCTCAGCCCCCCAGAGTCAACACTTCATGTCCTTGACTCTCTGAGATGGTACTAGCACTATCCCCACTGTGGAGATCACAAAGCCTAGGCGCACAGGGCTCCAGTGACTTGCTTTCTCTAGCCTGGAAGTGATGAAGCCAAGACTCGTCAGGACCACCTGACCTTCAACTACCTGTTTCTCCAGCACTTGGGAATCTTCAGGCTTGACCTGCCCCAACTAGGGTCCCCACCCATTAGATTGTTGCCTCTTCTCCCTCTTTGCTACTGGAGCCAGCCTGGCCTGAGCTAGGGGGTGGACTGCAGAGACCCACTGCCTGGCAAGATGCTAGCAATGAAGAATTCAGAGAGAAGCTGCCTTCTGCCCCCGGGGCCACTGGTCAGGGCCCCAGGTTAGTCCATGGATTCCTTACTAGGTCCCCCTAACGTGAGTACACCTCCGCTGGCCTGACCTAGATGCCCCTGTGTGAGAGGGGCCGTGTGGTTAACCCCTGAGTGGCACTTGGGTTTTAGGGGAACCTGTTCCCAAACGCAGACTCTTAGACATAGGTCGTGGGAAAGTGGTGCAGGGCTGCTTTTATGAGCACTGCCCCCCCCACCCCCCGACCTCTGGCAACACCCATGGCCAGAGAGGGATAGAAAGGGTGCTTTGAAGAGATGCACATGCAGAATGTGGCCCAGGAAGTCTCTGTGGGCCTGGTCCCCAGGGTGATTGAGCAGCAATTGTGGTTCCAGACCTGGCCTGCAGCACCCCCTAATGGAGGAAGGCGGCATCACTACCCCCTAAAATCTTGGGGTCTCAACCAACTCTGGTCAAAGGAAATAAGGTTTTCCCAGGCCAGTGACACTTCAGAGCATTCTCTGCAAACAGATGAGAGCCTCCAATGTTATGTACACGCCCAGCTAAATCTAGTCTTGGATCTGCCACGACAATGACAGCCGTACCTTCCCGGCCACCCCCCCCAACTGCTCTCCACCCCAAAGCCCAAGCAGTCTCTGAGTGGCAGAGCACAAAGCTGCCTTGCCCACACCACTCCTACCAAGGCAAAGGCATGGGCGCCAGTCCGTCAACTAGGGGAGAGTGTTCCAAAGTCGGCCACGCGTGGAAAAGCGCACTGGTCTCTGCCGTCTTGGTAGGAGATGCTAAGTGCTGGGCCCTAAATGCACATCAGACCAGACTGAGTCCAACAACCTATTTCCTGCGGCCTGACCTTTCTCTGGCCCCAGTGCCTCCTCACTCACCTGCCTTTCTCCCCTCCTGTCAGCCCTCTGAGCTGTATCGCGGCAGCCTTTAGTCCACAGAAGTCAGGCCCCACCCCTCACATTCTGATCCAGTGCCGTCTGGGGTGATGGCAGGAATCTATTTTTGTCAAGTTCCCTGGCAATCCAGATGACTGGGTGGCTCTAAGGCATGCACAGGGGAATTTCACAGTCTAAGCAAATGAAAAGCTTTATTGTCAGCAAGCCCAAGGTCCCAGCAAGCAGGGACCAGGGCCACATAACCCCACTGCTACCTGAAGGCCTAGGAGGAGCAGGGGGACGGGGAGCCACAGGGGAGGCGGACAGTCACTTGTACTGAGGAGACAGTGGGGGTACGAGAGGGGCGGCACAGACCCTCAGCATCTTGCTGATGTCCACTTGAGTGGACTTATCCATCTCGGCCTTGAGCTGCCCACTGACCCCCAAGTCAGGCAGAAAACCTGCCTCCTCTCCAGCATCCTCTGCCAGGGGAGCCAGCATGTGGGTGGGGGGCACTAACATTTGGGGGCAGGGTAAAGCGGGGCCTGAGCCTGTCTCACCTGCCACGGGCAGTAAGGCCTGCATGTGTTCCACATCTGCCTCCTCAGGGGCCAGGGCCGCCTTCAGCTCAGGCTCGGGCCCGGGCCCAGCCCCAGCCTCCCTGTCCTCTTTCCCTGCTTGGTTCAGCTCAGGATTGCAGTAGTTGATGTACTGGTACAGAGGCCGCAGGCGCTGGGCCCTTCCTGCAAGGACCCAGGAGAGGGCACAGCTGTAGCAGCAGGCAGGTCAGGGGGACCAGCAGGCCAGGGAGAAGGGACGCCCTGGGCAGCCACTCACGCTCCAGCCCCAAGGCCTCTGCGGGAGCAGGCAGTGTGCTGACTGTGGCCAAGAGCGCTGGGGGCCCCAGACTCTTGCGTTTCTTGGTTTTCTTGTGCTGCTTGGCCGATGAGGATGGCGAGGGCTCGCCCGGGCTCCTTGCTGACTCATCCTTCTGCAGCAGCAGCAGCCCCGATGGCAGCTCCACTTCGGCCCTAGGACGGCGTGGTAATAGCCCCTGGGAGGCTTGGGGCTAGAGCCAGGGCCAGCAGGCTAGAGCCTACCCATGCCCAAGCCTTGCCTGCCTGTCCTTCTAGCCAGCCCCTTCCAAGACCTCTGGCCTCCCTCTCAGGGCTTAAGGGACAGGGAGGCAGAAGGTGACGGTGGTGGCAGGGGCCAGAGTGCAGGCTTTAGGAAGCCTCTGGGAGTGTGAGCCCACTCCCCATCCCCGCAGCCCCTTCCCTCTGGAAGGTCCCTCACTTGACCGGCTTCCTCTTCAGACCTTGGCCCTGCCTCACAACAGAAGCCAGGGCCCTGAGACCTCTCCCCTCGGGGCCCTCCGTCTTGGGCTTGAGCTGCTCGGCCCGGACCTCTGGCCTGGGTACCGGCACTGCTGGACACTCCTTGGCCTCCTGGCTCAGGCAGGTTTTGTAGGCTGGCACCACACGCTGGTCTCGAGACACTGGACACTAGAGGTGGCACATACGTTACTGATTTTGAGCACAGCCAGAGGATACAGGGAACAGATGTTTGAGCCCAACTGTAATCACAAACACTTTCCCTTCCTTGGACCCTGCCGTGGCAGTTAAGAAGGTTAGGGTTGCCCAGGGCTGCCCCTCTCTGTCCACTGGAGCCGCATTCAAGTGTCTACAAGGCAGACGGCCCTATGGGATGGGTCACCTCTATCTCGGAGCTCTGAACACAGCCAGCTGGTGCCTCCACTATCAGTGCCGACCCCAGGGTGGACCCCTCCTGGGGCCCAGACCGCCTCTCGGCCCCTGCTGAGGCCATGACCACACGGAGGCGTTGGCGCACCCCCGACGACGGTTTCCTAAAGCGGTCTGGTGGACCCCACACTGATCGCTGAGCCGCGCTGGGAGGCGAGGGTACGGATGGGAAGTGGGAAAGAGGCCTCACGGCCCTACGTTAGCCGGAACTACAAGCCCCAGAAGGCTTTGCACCAGCGGCCCTGACCCCTAATAACCCCAGGCGCGGAAGCCACTGTTGCCTGGCAACGGCAACTCCCGTCGGGTCGCAGCT